CAATAGAAGCTAGAACAAAAAGTAGAGGCTAGGAGTGATACCACAACTGTTGAACAGAAAGTGTTCAACGGGATTGCCTTCACTTGCCACTTTGATAAGTTGTAACTATATGCTTACGATGGCGCCTCTCATTGGCGATGTCGCAGAAACGGTTTTAAATGTACCCAACCAGTGGTCCAATGCTGGAAATACCGAATACTATGGCAGAGGACACGGGACTAGATACATTCTACAGGGTCGCCCTGATGCGCCGACCAATTTATGAAAACAAGATCGAATCAACACCCAGTTGTTAAAGGAAAATTTAACTACCATTCATTCATAACCTTAAGCATAATACGTTGAACAAAATTCTTATTTGAGATCAACTTGTAGTCTCGAAACCCTACTTTTTAAAACGATAATAAAGAAGTATTCCATCATGCGGAGTTTATAGTATTACCTTTGCAAGTTAAACCAAAGTTATAGTCAGTATAAACAAGGAAATATGAAAAAAATATACAGAAAGGAAAACAGGTCCGTCACATTAGCAGTGTAGGATACAGGTGCAGATAACTAGGCCATATAGATCAACAAGATTCAAAGGATGTATCATTATTCCCACTGTCTCAGAAATCAAGGCTGTAGAAATTACTTCAATATTTAGCTTGTAGAATAGAAACGAAGTGCAGATAACTGGGGTAATAGAATATCTTACTCTGTGCATTTGCTTCCGATAATATTCCATCATCTCGTGCAAGACCGCCAGATGCATAGGGTTGAATCTCTCGAGAACCTGAATGTATGCAAGAGGATGGGACAACATTAAATATAAAATACCATAAAGTTGGTAGCTTACTGTGATAAAATCGGAATACAAATTCGAAGCCATGAAGACCAAGGTGGTGTGGTTTAGGTATGGTCGCAGTCTCCTTCAGATGCACAGAAATTGGTTGACTTGGTTTTCAAAATTATTCGTGTTGTCAGGTAGAGTTAGCTGGACGCACCTTGTCCGAAGTCCTCTTCTAAAGTGACTATAATAATGCCCAGTGTCGGAGCTAGAACTTGGTACATGCTCAGACATTTCACCAGCATCGTAGTCGGCAGCATTAGTGAGCCTTACCAGTCTCAGCAACAAGCTACAATTCGTCAATGAAACAGATGAGGACACAGGACAGGAGAGATACCACAACTGTTTAACAGGCAATAGGTAAAGGATCGACTTTATTTGTCTCTTTGACGAGTGGCAGCTTGGTGCGGAGAGTGATAAGGCTCATTGATGATGCCGACTGCGATGTCTGAGAATGTACCAAGTCCACGGTCCGACTCTGGGAATTATCATAGCCACAATGGAAGAGGACTTAAACAAGATGCGTATAAGTAACTCGCCCTGACAGCACGACCAAGTCAAGCCACTTCTGAATACATATTGTCGACCAATAAGTAAAAAATTTTTAAATGGAATTCGATGATAGCGATGGCCAGGAAGAGAAGTAATTCACTAGAAATGGTTGGGCATAGAGATTAACAAGATAAACTGAAAAGGACTAAGGTATTAAAAGTAATTAGCAAGTGTCTTTAAATGAATTCAAACGTTTGAAGTTCGACATATTAAAAAGAACTGACCTCAAGCACGGCTTCCGAGCCTGCCTTGGAGATAGCTGAGGTAGATGGAGATCCCGTCATCGCAGGAGCAGCCACTAGTGATGGATCGCGATATCGCTGCCGCCTAGCCTCAGAGCCGGCCAGGGCAGAGAAGAGACTTACCGGACCCGAGACATTGCCCACTTCGGCACCTTGCCCACTGGTTGCCTGGGTCAAAGAAGCGCCGGCAATCGCTGGGCCTGAGATGGACGGAGGTGAAGACGACAGACTGGCTGAAGGAACGACAACAGTGGCTGCTGCGCCACTCGGCGAGAAGGATGGCCCACTAAATTGGCTCGTTCCAACAGGCTGGTCGACAGAATTAGAGAACTGCTGTCCAGCGGCGGCGCCACTTCCAGTGCTGCCGAGACGGAACATGCCGCCGGACATCTTTGTCCATTTGGCAGAGATCTGATGGTGAAGACTCGAAGATCCCGATCCCGATGCCGATCCTGATCCAGCCCCAACAGAACCCCACAGATTCTCACTATAGGGATCTTCTGGCATTGGAGAGTCAGAAAGTCCTCCCGTCCAGGCAGGACTAGGTCCATTCCCACTGACATTGCCAGCATTTCCAGAAACGAAGCCAACAGAACTACCACAGGCACTAGCCCCACCACTACGGCCATCACTGCCAGAATTCGTCTCACAGCTGAACGAAGTCACTTGACCCCAACCACTCGTCTGCCCTTGGCCACTTGCCTCTGACTCCATGTAGGAAATCCAGGCAAGCAGACAAGGCGACTCGAGAACCGGTGACCAGTCAGCAAGACAGGGCACTGAGAGACCAGTGGCGAGAGGTGCGCCCGGTACGAGCGAAGCCAGCAGCTAAGAGGTGGAAGTGAGCACAAGCAAAATAATTCACATTACCATGACACAAGTGTAAAACGGTACATATTGATGTGTATATTGCAGCAAAGCAATTAATATCACCAATAAATACAAACCCTAAAGCGTAAATTCATCAATCTAGATGGCTTTTTACAAAACATTATTATTGAAGGTGTGAAGACGTAGATGGAGTAGCCTTTTATTATTATTAAAACTGAAATATAAATAGCAAGCTAAAATTGTATAAACACAACTACTTAATGTAGAGAAAAAAGAGATTTCAACCCAACTATGCATCCGATAAATTGTTAATGCAGGAGCATACAATCTGAGCCACTACAAGCGTAAATGACATCTTTTGGTCTACTCTTACACATCATATCATAAAGGTCTATCTATACATCAAGTAAAGCTTACCAAAAGTTACAAAGCTTCAAAAAAACTTAAAGTTGCACTAGTAATTTGTTTATACATTCCATCTGTACACATCCAGGCTAATCGAGTTACGAAGACACGCGTATAAGAGTGTATTCAGACAAAAGAGAATCTAAAGGAAAGGCAAAGCGTCAGATTTTAATGGTGTGATCCCATATTTGCGTTAAAACCATTAATGCGATAGTTATTATATTGCATTCAGTAGCGCCGGCAGCGTCTGATTGTCATGCAGACACGCATGTATGGACAATGCGGGCAAAATAATTAGCAAGAACAGATGTCGGGC